ACACCCCCGTCACGAGAGGGCAGTGAGTAGGACTTCCCTGGCAGAGGCTATATACACGTGGCTATGTGAGAGCATTTGGAGAGGGAGAGAGGGCTCTCCCCACTCTCGGCCGTACCAGATCGTTTGGAGGCTTCGATAGATCCTCATGTATGATGACTAAATTCAATTAGAAATCTATTAGGAGTCAGTTGGCTATAGTTTATGTTGGTTTTCCATCCCAAATTATAGACTTCCTACTTTAACATTTGCACAGAAAAATGTAATCTAATCGTTTTGTCTTTTTGTATACATATATTTACCCTTGTCAATTATTCCCCGATACACTTAACTGAGAGTATGTGTGTGTGCATTTCTTTATTTCTTGTTCTATTCCTTATCTGTCTTTAGCTTGCTTTTATCTGTCTGACTAAAAATGTTGAGTCTTGTTTGATAAAAAGAATTAAGTAGGCTGAGAAACCTAGTTTCATGCTGCATCTCTTACACTCTGTTTGAATAAATAAATATTTGAAATAGGTTCTCTAAACCTAATTCGTATTTAGCTTTTATTACTACCAATGGACAGTAAGGCTTTAGCCTAAGTATAGCATACGGAATTAGACGGAGAATTTATGTATTATGGTTTATTCTTAGTCATTCATAATGGAGTCAGTGCGTCGCCATAAGGTCACATGTAAGTGATATTACTTTTAAACTTAATGTTACACCATATATTCCTCTGTTCAATAACTGTTTAAGTCTAACTTCCCATGCTATTTCTATATAGATTACTGAAACAATTTAAGAGAATCCTTAATTATCTGTTTCAGTAACCTTTTCTTGACAGGCATAAATCAAAACAGCAGTGGCTTGTGTATCAAAGATTATCAATCTCAAAACATCTTACCTGTTTTTAAAAGAAAACATACCAAACAAACAATTAAATATTATTATTTGTTGTATTAATTTAAAAATGTAAGCCTAAAAGTTTTATATTAGATTTATCTAATCATCATACACAAGCTCTCGATATTTTGTTGTTCTTAGACTTTCAGTACATTGATAGATATTTATTCAATTCAGAAAATATCAATATTCAAAGGAATAAGACGTTTATTATCTATCAGATAATAATGAATTTTTTTCCAGGAATTTATTTATAATCAGTTTATATTCTATCTGAATTATTGTTATAATGTTCAACAAATATCTATAAGAAGGGATTTTTTGTGGAGGTTCTTAGTAATTTTATAGTTGAGATCATGAATCAATCGAAGCTAGACCACCATGGAAAATCTGGAAGCACTGGAAGGTCGTTTCGTCCTATTGTGGGACTCCTCAGCAGTGCGCATCCATGATCCCGCCTCTCGAGATTCAAACCCAGTACCTATCAGTCTCGCGAGCAAACTCTTAACCTCGAGACCATTGGTCCGGCATCCAAAGGTGTCAATGTCTAACTTCAATCAATCCACGAAATTGGACGAAATGGACGTTCAGTGCTCCCACGTTTTCCATGGTGGTCTGGCTTCAATTGACTCATGAATTAAACTATTAAATTAATACAACAGAACTATGTACTTAGCACATATCACATAAATGTTACACTGAGGTTTCAACGAATATTTGAATAAATTATTACTATGCTGAATCAAAACATGATATCAAGTTTTATTTATTCATCAATGCTCTTCTTATCGTAGACAAAATGTAGATAGAATTAGGATTGCGAAATATACTTCAATGTAAGATAAAAACCGATACCTTTTGTGCAGAATCCATCAGTTCCCAGAAAGCGACCTATATCATGATCTCACATCTCCTAACGTCTATATATATATGAAGAACTTCATCTAATATATTTAATGATATTCTATTAAATACTTTTATCTAAACAACTGTTGACAGAAAAAGTCAAGATTACAAAAAAAAATTAACATTATGTTAATAGTCTAATTGTTAGCAAAACAAAGTACATCTGTTCATGATAATCAAATATATTTCTATTATTATTATTATTTACTAATGGACTTCTGTAGTTATTTAAAGTGATTCATACATTCATAAATATTGTTGTTCAGGGTCTATTTATAAGAGAAAAGAATACAAAGTAAATAAAAAGAAAAAAATTTCTTGTTTATTGATCGAAAAATTATAGAATATGCTTAATTAGACAAATAGCTTATCTATAAATACCAGCCAACATTGGATTCATCCGAGTTGTTTGGAGGTAGTCGGGAAGAAACTGCAATTATAGTTTTTATACTATTCGACACCAATCCTGTAATCTAGACGAAACTATGTTATTTGGACATGTATTACTAGACTTCAGAGATTGAGACGGTCTCACTGAGCAATTCAGACTGTGACTGAAATCCAGTAATATTGAGATGCTTACAACTGACAAGTCATTGAGTAGTGAATAATATTATATCATCCTAGTTGATCAAATTATATCAACCAAGTTGCTGTGTGGTTACTAATCTAGTCGTCTCTCTTAATGTTTCCCCGAAAGGTAATGGATAATGCTAGTGATATTTCAATTATAATATTTCAACAAAGTACTTAACGAAGATAATGTTAACATTAATCTAGAACTTACAGTAGATAATATTAACAGGATATCGACTATAAATTATTGTATCTGCTAATTTGGCTTCCAATATAATTAACTTTTATGTTTTTGGGCAACAGTGAAGATTATCAACCGTAAGGAAACTTTGCTAAAATTAGTAGCCTTCAGCGGAATTTAAGGTCGATTTTTTGTCTTATTTTGGGTTTATAATCTAGACTTACTTGCTTTCCAGCACTGATATTCACACCAAGACTTGAATCCAACCAATAAATACTTAAAGAAGAGCATATCTTAGATTTTTTGAGCATGTTTTAGAAAGTCTCAGAAAAAGAGAAAGACTAAACAGTGCAATTACCAAACATCTCTTGGACACAGGACATCATGTTGATACTTCGCAATCTTTCAAGGTGATTAGTAAGCAACCAAACTCTAGTCTTCTGAAGCCGTTGTTATCAGGCTTTAAAAACCAGACTTATATCTTCAAAAGGAGATGGTTATTAATCTTTCTTTGCTTTGGTGAGAAATGTACCTTTGTTGCACCTTAAACTTTTCTATTTTTTAACCCTTTCTTGCATTTATTACATCATTGAGTTTTTTTTAAAATTTCAACTATATTCCACATTAACAATCTCATTTTATTAACTGACATTTACTCATTTTATTCCTATCATCATCTACTTATTATGTAATCACTTGTTTCTAGCCGTTTAAACTGTTGTCATAGTCAGTGTGATAGAATTTTCTTTTATATAAGGTATATATTTACAATATTCCGTCTAGTGCCCCTTCCAGCCATAGGAACATGGTGAAGCCTAGTAGGTCCTTCTGGAGAAGAGTCCTACATTGAAGCACGGCGCAACTACCAGGGCGGGATAGCTGTTTTTGCACTGCTTATGCAAAAACATCTTTTTGAACCCTCAATAGTTATGCAATGACTCTTTGTAACATTCGTAATCGTTTGCCGATATAGATAGAGTGATTGATTAGGCCGATCTCTATCACCCTGATTACCGCTCAAGAAAAAAACCTTTTTTTTAAAAAAAAAATGAAATTTATTATAAGCAAAATTTATGTGAATTTTATTTTTATTTTTTATCTGAAATACTCATGTACATTAGAAAGAACAAACAAACAACCCAACAGACAACTAAACAAGAAAAAGGTTAATCCATCAAAATTACCTTGAACCACCTCTTATTCAACATCAACATTAAGAAAGAGTATACAGCCAAAAATGTATAAAATGAACATTACGATTTTATATATTTCAATAACATTAATGAATCTTAATATTATTCTCAAGGTAATTAATGATATAACAATAACATTATGGCATTATTACTTCTTTTACTTTTTACATATCTTTCATTCAGAATATAGAATAGTAACATCGTTTAAGGATCCCCATCATATTAAAGGACTAATATTTGAATGAAGAATATTCTTCTCGATAAATTCTCTCTTCAGGTTCTACAATTCATATATCCAAATTAATAATCTGAAAATAAATAGCCAGTTTAAAGGCAAGGTACATCGTTTAGAGCATGTCACTTAAGGATTGTCAAACCAAATAGAATAATAGATTGTTAATGTTAATGACTCATATAGAATGTTAATACTTGAAATCTGTATGTTAAGTGAAAATTTAAGATCTGTGATTAGAATAAATATGGGTCAGATAGGATGAGAGAGATATGATAGTGCAATTACAATTCCATCAAGTGGAAGATTGAATTGTGTGAAAAATTAGTTAGACGTAATAAGAAGGGATCAATTCGAAGTGAATAAATCATGCATAGGGGAGATTAATAATGACGTTTAACCAATAATAATAATGATAATATAAAGATTTGTGAGTCTTATCAACATTAACACTTTTATTCTATTTGGTTTGACAATCCTAAATGGACATGCTTTTGAACGATGTACTTTGCCTTTAACCTGGTCATTTTTTTCTTGGATTATTAATTTAGATATATGAATTGTAGAACCTGAAGAGAATTTATCGAATAGTAATATATATTGAGTAGAAGAACTTTTAAATGCATGCAAACAAACAGTCTAATAGACATTGAACACTTTAGTTTATTGTTCAATGAAGAGGTAGATATAGTAATTACTTTTTAAAAAAAAAGTTATTTGTATGTATTTCAAGAGGGATTTCATAAGCTAAAAGTTGATGTAACTGGGTAATGATAATAGTGAAAAAAAGTGAGTAGAAGGTATCAAGAAACTCAGCTATGATTGTTTCACATACACACATAGATATATATAAATGCATTAAAACACTAAGGAATAAATAATAATAAAAAGGAAAGCATTATATGGTGAGCTTATTGAAGAAAAGAAACTCTAAAAAACTTTAAAAAATCAAAAAAGGGACAGAAAAAGAAAAAAAAACAATTGATTGTTTTCAATAAATGATACCATTTCTTTTATTTATTTATTTTTTTCAATTAGAATTGATTGATGATTGTTCACATCCACATGTACAATGATCACTGACCATATATTCATAACGATTCCATTCACAATGATAACCATTAGCTGTTAAACTTAATTTACGTATTAAACGTCGTACACGTTTTGTTCTACGTTCTTCTACATATGTTTGATGTGAATTTGTATCTCTATTAAGACGACCTAAATAATTCGTTTGAAATTCTCTTCTTCGTCTATTTGATGCTTCTTTACTTGAATCATTTTTACAAACCTAAAAATAATTGTAAAAATAAAATAAAGTATAAAGATAATATGGTGAAAATTCCCATTTGGACATTTGATAAATAAAAAGGAACGACACAGGTCATCAGGTTGAACTAAATAAAGCTTTTAAGGTTATCTACCATATTCCATCAAATTTGCCACATGGTTAACGAGCTCGTCTATTGCATATAGCTGAAGCCATCACAATTCATATTCACAAACCGAACCCTTGTATCCAAAAGAAGTTTGTACAACCACTCTCGCTACCTTGGCCATCGGTATAGCGGAGTTTGTAGCAGAATTTCGGTAAACAATTATCTTATTCCTTCCATTTTTTGTATTTTACTTATTCTCTTCATTCGTCTCTTGATTCTTACATAACTACTATATTACTGACCATTCATCAAAATATTTTGTTAGTTCTTTCTTCTCATTTTTATATATTACGCAACGTAGCAACTGATTGGTTTTCGAATAATAACTTTGATTAGTATTAATCCTTCTCTTCCAATTAATTAATGTTAGTTTATAATCAATATGTCATTATATAATTATTACGTAGCGTATCTACTCCATGAATGTTATTTAATTATTGTAAATCATAAAGATAATCGGCAAAATCTAGTCTTGAATAGTTTTAAGTTTATGCATATGACTTCATAATTAAAATTCATAATTATCATTATTTGAAAGACAATATCAGAGCAGTGATGGTTGTGCTTTTGTTACAAAGATTGATTTTGGTAACTTATTCCACAGAATCGATGATATACTTGAAAAATAACTCACATAGAGGGTAGATTTAAAGTGGGATAATCTCACACTTCATAAACAGTTGCGAATTATATATAACATTGTGATTCTGAATATTGCAATTGAGTAGTGAGTGTAAACGACGATTAATTTTGAATTTTGTTAGAAAATATTAGATTCCATGAATGATGGAGTATCGACTGAATAGATATGAATTTTTAGTTGGGAGTACAAGAATGTGAAGTGTGAATCGTCAGTAGGGAGATATGCTGATTTTATGGATTCTTGGTAGAGTACTGGAAATCAAGTTGAGTAATCTGAGAGTGATCGAACAGATAATTTGCACATTAAAATATGTAAGTTAATGTTATAGAGGTAACGTATTTTGCAAGTCATTAATATTTGTTCTGAGGTAAACAGATTGTGGAAATACGTGGATCAGAAGTCTACAATTCTATGAAACTTAGATAACGTTTTACTATGATATCAAGTGCTTAATTTAATACTCACTTTCCATTTGACTTAGTTTTTTTCAATCAATATGAATCGGAAGCTTGCAAGACCAATATAAGTACCGGTAATAAGTTTCTCTTACATGAGTTTCATCTTTTTTTGAAATATATTTATGAATGAATCTGTTACAATATATTAAAGCAATGATTTATGGAATCTGCCATTTTGTTGCGAAACTCAATAGTCAGCTATACGATAGCAAGTTCTTGACTTATGAATTTCTCAAAATACATTCAGAGGATACGTTTATACTGAATCCTACGGATCGATAGTTGCAGATACTCACTAATAGCGGTTCATTGACTAAAACTAGTGTAAATAAACGTGATCTCTAGAAGAAGAATACAGTTTACTCCAATAAATGCTTATCTACAAATTATTCACAAGAATGATAAGATGTTATATACCATGCTTGGAAATCATTTCATAGGTTACTCATAGTCCAGTGAATAAGTGTCTAACTGTTAGGTTTAATTCTCAATCATCACATTGAATGCCAAACAAATGAAACGTTTTAAAATATGTCTGTAGAAGATATTCCAATATCACTTGTTCTGCTTTAAAAAACTCTATGAAACTTTTTTAAAATGGTCCAGACATTTTAAATTCACAAAATATCTTACATCATTACGCAAAATATATTCCAGTTATAATTAATAAGTATTGAACAAGTGCTCAATTTCAGTGATCACTTTTGTAATAATTAAAATGCAGTTTATTACTAGTTACATTTTATGTTAGTAAAAACAGGTTGTAATATAAATCCTCAGTTCGAATCCCGCGAATAAGATCGTGGACATGCACTGTTGAGGAGTCCCATACTAAGACGAAACGGCCGTCCAATGCTTCCAGGTTTTCAATGGTAGTCTAGCTTCAATCGACTCATGAATTCAACCATTAAATTACTTCAATCTCCATAAAACCCTTTTCTGATAATAATATAAGTAATGATTTATCATTTATATATTTGGTTACCATTTCATTTCCTCTTATCCTTGTCAAAACCCGGTTTATAGGAGTAAATTTCTCCCAAGTACTTAGTCCATAATGAAATATATTATCTACAATTCCCATTGTGATAATAATTCTTTTCAAGCTAACGTATTACTAGTCAGTCATTCTTGTTCTGTTACATACTCTTAATTTGTGTACATCTGCAACTCCCTACAAGAATGATTTACTTTGTAGTGAATGCCACTCACAAAATTGTAAGTAGTGTGTAACGGATTGTAGAGTCGAAGTTCCAACAGTAGTCAGACGGAGACAAGAAGATCAGTACAGCAAAAGTATGGCCTAAGCAGAAACCAGACGAGAAGACAGCTCCAATTTCAGAATATACTGAAAGATTCAATTGGATGATTGAAGGGTATGTATATGTATTAAGTAAATGCTTTGTAACTTCTTACAGTGAACATACACTTTTCCTCCCTATTACCTTCATTATCAATTTAACTTAATGGCTTTCACATAAATGATAAAATAGAGTTTGATAAACGAAGTGATTTTTGGCTTAAAATTGAACTAATCATAACTAACTTATACAATACAAAACGGTCATATGAAATGATCACAAAATACATATATTAAGCGAGTAAAATGGAAAAAAGACAGAGGTTTCGATGAAGAAGCCACTATATAGAGCCTCTTCATTACAGCACTTTTAAAAGTGCTTATAGTTTCTTTCACTGTCTTTTAGAACCTTAATAGAATTATGGGTTTATGTAATAATTTAAGACTTAGTAAATATTCAGTATCAATCTTGTTTAGTTAACAATATTAGTGATAAGTATGATAAGCTGCCAAGTCTGTAGTTTCATAATGAGACATAAGATATTAGAAACAAATGTTATCTTCAGAAGGAATTTTTACCTACTTCCAAATCTACTCTACATCTTTAACAGAAAAAAAATCCTTTTTATTGTTAAAATATTTTTCAGTTAAATGTTTATAGCATACAAAGACCTGAAAAGTACATGATGATAACCTTTTTTAAAAGAAAAAAGAAACAAAAAGAGAACGATGTATTGTACATCACAAAATCTTTTTGTTTTTATGTTCTAATAAGTCATATTTTACATTATAAATTCATGACAGATACATGCTTATTCTTTGTCAGTAGCATATCACAAACTGACAGTTCTGTTAACAAAAATCTGAAAAACTTAAGATTAGATTTATTGAATAGATGAATTTCTAAGCTTATTTATCTATTGATTTGAACACATAAATATTGGTACAAGGAGACACCAAATAGATATGCGCCGCATAAATCCTTCGATTTATGTGAAGGCTGGGATACTGCCCGGGTGCCCAAACCGAAGCAGGTGGTTTATGAGGGATCATTATTTGGAACTGAGAGGGTTAAACTACCAAGTTTATCATTCGAAGCAATAACAACTCAAAAGCTAGGAACTAATAGAATTTGTTGATAAGTGATCATAATGAATATGGTATAAATTATTACGAAATATGACTTATATACACAAATGACAAGGAATATACGTAATATTCATATTGTGCTACTGATGTCAACAGATATAAGTAGTATATATCATCAATCGAATGTGAAATGCCTGGAGACAGAAGATTAAGAGAATCAAAGAAAAAAGATCAAAAACAAAAAAGGATTGGTGTAGAAACAAAAGAACAATTAAGTCTGAGACGATTGACCGATATTTGCAAAAGAAACAGTCAAGTTTGAGACAATTGATTGACATTTTGCAACTTAAGTATTAACTATATGGTTCTCAAATTTTACTAAGAAGTTCGATTGCCCCCACTTGTGTTCTCGTTCACTACTATGTAATGAAGAAGTGAGAATTAAAACCCACTTGAATTTATAAGTGTAATGTATACTTACGTAATGCTGGTTAACTAGTAAACAGATTTGACTTATATGACATAACAACAGACATCAACTGAATAAGAATAAAGACAATTTAGAGGAGATAATTATCTTTCTGGTTGGACGCGTAGGAAACACTACGTTTGGTGTTTCCTACGCGTCCAATGGTGACATCGAGGCTTAAAGATGAAGTTCCTAAAATGAACACTTCATTTTGTATTTATCAGTTCGACTGCTCCTGTGAAGCAAGTTATATAGGTCGAAGTTCTAGGAATTTACATTTTCGTGCTCGTGAACACCTCCCAGCGTGGCTAAGCAAAGATCTGATGAGGAAAGTAAACAGCTCGATTTTGGCCCATTTAGTACAAACTAGTCATAGTGCCAGTATAAACCAATCTTTTTCAATTATTTATAGGGTCAGTAATTTTTTGCCTAAGCTTGTCCTTCAAACGGCGGAGGCAGTAGCCATCAGAATGAAGAAACCAGAGCTATACGTACAGAAGAAATATCTCCAACCCCTACTCCTCCCTTGGCCAACCACAAGGCCAACTAATGAACAATCATCTTATCTATTGTATGACCTAATTTGACTATGTACTTACGACCTTTTGTAGTCAAATGTAATCTTATCTTTATTCAGAAATCTGTATTATTACTATTATTTTAATTATTATTATTATTATTGGTTAAACATTATTATTAATCTCCCCTATGCATGATTCATCCACTTCGCATTCATCCCTCCTTATTACGTCTTACTAATTTTTCACACAATTTAGTTTTCCACTTGATGGAATTGTAATTGCACTGTAATTGCACTCACCCCCTGTCTAACCCATATTTATTCTAATCACAGATTTTAAATTTTCACTTAACATATATACAGATTCAAGTGT